ACATTGTTTTAAGTTCCGTTTCTGGACTATAAACGTCTCATGATGGTCTATAAAGGATGAGAGAGCAAACCAAGGACAAACCAAGATCTCAGAGGATTAAAACTCCATAGTTAGTAATTAATAACCAAGCTTCATTTTTGGGTGAACTAATTCTCTAATCAGCATAGTTGATTTTCAATTTACTCCTGTGTTTCTGCCCTCTGCATTCCACTATAACACATAAATACACCTCCATGTCCTACTTCTGTAATGGAAGCAACAATCCGAGTTTGCTTATTCAGGCTTATTTTAGTGAGGCATGTCTTCTATTTTTGGGGTTGGTTTGTCAGACCAGGCTGTGTGTTTTTTTGGGTGAGATCTGGCAACACAACTACCTTTGACACTAAATGTTTCCAATTTTCTGCACTTATGCCTACAAGAATCTGCATATAGCATTTCATTGTCTCTTACAGTGATATCTTTTGCTGACACTAGTGAGTGGATCTACTGTATGCACTAATTCCTGAAGTGGTAAAGAAGAAGGTGATGGTTTCTAAATATAGGGTAGTCTGTCATGCTAAGAAAAAGAGAGCACTCATTTTGGTAATGGTCTGAGGAATAAACTAGGTCATACTGTTTTGTGACTGCCTCGGTTGTATCCTAATTATGTGGCAGAGACTGCATTCTGCCATGTCACATATACAGTGTGTAGAGAGGGAGGTTTTGTCTGCACCATTCATATAATCCCATGCATTCAGTGCTTCGGCTCTTTAGTTAGCACCTGCTGGTAGATGCTGTAACTGCAGTGTTTTGCAGGATTAAAGGGATAGTTTGCCCCAAAATGAAACTTCTGCCATCCTCCACTTGTTTAAAACCTGTTTGAGATTCTTCTTCATTGAACACATATTGAAGAATGTTGAAAATAGCAGCCATTGACTTCCATAGCAGTTTTGTTCCTACTATAACTGGCTGTTTTTCCAACATCCCTCAGAATAGGATGTAAATTGCAAGGAAAATTTCCATTTTGGGTGAACGACCCTCCATTGACAGTCATCTACGCATTCTGCAGTTTATTGATTAATTGTGTGTTTGTGTGCCTGTGTGTGTGGTATTAGGTGCATGTTAAAATGCAGTTGTTTTATTTTTCTTCCAGTCAGATGTGACACAGTTCAAGTTTCACAGCAGGCAACCAAAATTATACAATAATTTAGTATTGATGTCCATGTCTAAAAGCTCTCACTGGTCGTAAACATAACACCATCCACACATAAGTAATGAAGAAGCTGTAACCAAACAGGATTACAGGTCATCTCTGCAGTCACACATGATCAGCAGTGCAGAAAATTATTTTTATGGGGGGCTTCTGTTAAAATATGGCATGCACAAACAATGAGTATGCAATTATAATAGCTACAAGGTTTTGTGTCAGGTTATTAAAACTATGGCTGTTTAAAATCATGGTATTACACCAGGTTAGTTGTTGTTAAACTCATATCAGTTTGATGACAAATAGCATTGAACAATTATTTTAATTTAATATTATTGTTAATTTATTCTTCAGTTTAACTCTAGGTTGAATCAGTTTTAGAATCTGCTCCTCTGGGTTTTTACAAAAAAAAAAAAAAAAAAAACCGTTTTCATCATGTGGTCATTGCTATTTACAGAGTATGAAATCATATAAATGAGTAATGGAGTGCCAAAGGTTTAATTACAGGTTGTATTGGATGTTATATTCTAGATCATATTTAGCCTGAAGTAAGTTTGTTAAAAAAAAAAAATTCCAAAGCATTTCGTTATTAGCAAATCTTAATGAAAGAATAAAAATATGAGTCACACTATCTGCTTGTTAAATGTGACGTCACGCAAAGTGGTTTCCGCGTTAAGCGATATATAAAATGGTATGGGGAGACTCATCAAATGCTAAAAATAAACGTTTACAAAGCCCTGTAATACTTTCAGAAATTACAATCACAATTTATACATCCACACCTAATATCAGACGGCTAGAAGAACGTAATTCATTGTTTTTATAAATTGTTAAAATTTTGGTATTTGTGATGCAGCAAGTCCAGAGACTGTTGTGTACACCGTGATTTTATATAAAATTTATTTTATTGTGTGATAGGACCAAAAAATGTCCATAAACGAATATTTTCTCAATTCAAGTGATTAGCAGCTTGGACCTGGAAACAGTATTTCATACGTCACCGACCGTCGCGACTTAACAAGGAGTTACAATAAGATTTTATTGGTTAATGTTATTAAAGAAACAATGAACAATACATTTATTACAGTATTTATTCATGTGTTTATGTTAGTTAATGAAAATACAGTCGTTGATTGTTAGTTTTATCTCACAGTGCATTAACTAATGTTAACAAGCATGAATTTGGATTTTAATAATACATTAGTAAATGTTGATCTATGACTAGTAAATGCTGTACAAGTATTGTTCTTTATTAGTAGATAATAATACATACATTAACTAATAATAACTAATGAAAACTTATTTTAAAGTGTGACCAAAATATGGACATGACACTCTCAGAAAAAAAATGGTACAACGTTGTACCAAAGAAAGTACAATCACTTGTCACTGGGGCAGTCCCTTTTTATGGAACAGATTTCTACCTTAAGACAAAAAAACTAATTTATACCATTGCAGTTTTTACCTTTAAGTACATGATTTGTACCATGGGAAACAGAAATGTACCTTTGGTTTTTAAAATCAGCAAATACAATATTGTATCTTCATCAAAGGTCAAGGACAAGACACTTTGTACCTTAACAGTGTCAAATGTGTTCCTTCAAGAACTATTTAAAGGCATTTTGCTATATCCAAAATGTGTCTATTCATTTTCAGTAAATATAAAACCTCAAATACAATTTTAAACAATGTTTTTTTTAAAGGTTTCTTTCTGTGTAAATGCACCTTTTCCAATTACAATTAAGAATAAAAAATATTTTAACATGAATCAAAAGATCTACTTTTGTTAAACATTTCACAACACTTTTCAGAAGCATGTTACTGAAATACAATATCAATAATAAAAAATGCTTATCAAATGTTTATTAAAAATGCCCTAAACGTTTAGTTGGCAAAAACCTATTGTTCTGTTTTACCAGTTTTTTTCGTATTATAGAACTTAATAATTCATTTTTATGAGTTTATTTACGTACGTTTAAATGATGGTTCAGGTTTAATATGGAACTTATTCATAGAATCACTTGCCTTTCCAATATTTATTGTATAGATAATGTAAAAAAGAAGTTGTCCAACAATTATGTACTTTTTTAAAGAGAACATTCATATTTATCTTCATTTTAACTGTAGCATAAAAGGTGTACAGTATCGTAAGACGTCTTTTCTGTACCATATAAGGTTCAACGTTTAAAAAGGTACAATAATATTCCTTAACGAACATTATTTAAACCACTGTACTTTTTTTCTGAGAGTGTACAGCAGTAGTATTTCTGCTCACTAAGTATACTTCCAAAATGAAATAAAAACAAAGCTTGTAACACAGAAGAAAACTTCTTAGTATTTATAGTAGTCCATAATCCTTTTACTGAAGAATCCCTCCAAGCTGATATTATTCAATATTACGCAGCGCATAGAGGCTTTGGAATGTAGCAATAGAATGTAGCAACAAAAAAAAGGGGGGGGAAAAACAATATATAAGCTTCATGTGCCACTGTTTTGTCTTTCTCTTTCAATCATTGGTGAACAATAACACAAACACAACACAAAATTAATGTTTTGCTTATTGTAAAATAGTTCTAGTTCTTGATGCTGCAAACAAACTTTATGGAGGACAACTGTAGATGCAGATGTGCGCGAGAAAATATCATACATTTTGTTTAAAGGAATAGATTTTTAGATCAGCCATTTTTTTGTTTACTGTCACTGTCTTGCTAACAGACTGATAGTACAATTACACAGATCAGAAAGTGTTATTGACCAACAAACTAGTTTATATTGCTTGATTGCAGTTACACTATTTTGATTAATCCGATTGTGTTATATGGTCTTATTTTCATATGTAAGGATTTCAATCAAAGATTGCGATGTTACTATTCTAGTAGAAGTTGGGTTTGGTTCATGACTTGTAATAACGAAAACTTTGAAACTTTTTAAAAATCCCTATTGGAAGAATAGCCTATGCTGCTGAAAATGTGGGCAAGTAGCTACTATTGCACTATAATTTAAAGCCTATAATAAAATCCTTGGAATGGCTATACTGTTAAAACGTCTGTTTAAAGTTTACCGCACAATTTTGTTTTTATTTTATTCATATTTTTTTGTTACTGGGGAAAATAATGTTTAAATGTGTACAAAACACCATATACAAATATTTGATGGGCCTAGTCGTGAATTAGCATATTAATTTGTGTTTGTGCACCATAAAGCAAACTCCAAGGGTCTCTAGCTTCCTATATTGAGGCTATAAATGAAAGGATTTTAGTGTGTCTGCACCGAAACTGCAAGTGGCCTTGTGTGTGGACTGCTGCCCTTTTTAAAGACGGGAATGCCTCATTTATTAGTAATCGAGTGGCTATTTCAAGAGGTGAGTCCGCGATCAGCAAGGGCTTTGAGTCGCGCGTGTTCTTAAAAACGAGCCCCCACCGAAAGCGACCCACCCACCCACCGAGCAGCATTTCCCCGTCGTGCCTCCTTCAACGCACACAGCACAGCAGCACATGGTTACAATCAAGCAAGCCCATAAATCAGGCGCCTCCGATCGAATAGTCGGAATTAAGCACACATGCACATCAGACTGGGGCTGCCTGCTGTTGCAGCAGAAGAAGCGAGAGAAACGCTCTCACATCAGGGGGAGGGATGGAACCTAAAAGCCTCTATAGTGATCAATATCTGACTGTCTTGTTGCAAATCGCTGCAGTGCTTCACAGGTGTACACTCGAGTATTCTCATACGGATTGACTGAACTGGAGCCACATGTCACATGTGCTTCATAGGAAGAACCGGGGCATCATCTGCTGCAAGCTGGATCTGGAGGAGGATGCTGCGGCAAGTGATACACAGAGGGCTGAAAGCTTCCTTCTACTGGCTGGGTTTGTTCGTGAGCAGGCATCCGGTGTTCTTCCTCACCGTCCCCGCAGTCCTGACCATCATTTTCGGATCCACGGTGCTGAGCCGCTTTAAGCCCGAAACGGACCTGGAGATCCTGGTCGCCCCGACGCACAGCCTCGCGAAGATCGAGCGGAGTCTCGCCAACAGCCTCTTCCCCATCGACCAGTCCAAGCACAAGCTGTACTCGGACCTGCACACCCCCGGCAGATATGGCAGACTCATTCTGCTGGCCAGATCCGGGGGAAATATCTTGGAGCTGGCCGAGCAGGTGCTCCAGGTGCACAAGAAGGTCCTGGATATGCGTGTCAATTATAAAGGCTTCAATTACACTTTCGCGCATCTCTGTGTCCTGAGGCACCGGGACAAGAGATGCCTGTTGGATGATATCATCACCATATTTGAAGACATTCGCTTAGCTGTTTTGTCTAACAGCACTTTTTCCAAGGTCCCCGTGAGCTATCCGAACACGACGTTAAAGGTAAGAGACATATATATTGTCTGGAGCGACGACGGCTGTGTTTCGAAACCTCGCGAGCCGCCTAACGAGACAGCGTTTTTTTTCGAGGCTGCCTTTGTGTGTGCGTGTGATGGAACGACATTGCAACAATGAAAAAAGAAGCTCGTCGTATTGCGACTGTGCTTCACAAAACCTTACGAAACGCTCAGAATTAGCAGCAGACAGAGTGCTGCTGTAATGTAGTGTGTGCAGCCTCGGTATCAGCTGCATAGTTCTCCAGCACTGCACTCTGGTGATGCAATGTACACTAGAAGACGCTCGCAGAATGTAGACTTTTATTCTCATATATATACATTTTTAAGTAAAGATGTGCTAGATGCTGCATCTTGTAAATTATATACAACCAGTAACATGATATCAACAGATTGCAAGCAGTATTAATTAATGCAAATGTTTAGGATTGAGTATCATGTAATTCAGCAAGGTATTACAAACATTGAGTTCATAGGAATCACATTTACATGAACTCTTAGAATATTTCACAACTTATATTCACTTTAAAAGAGTTTAATCACCTTTACTTGTATGATTTTTATTCATGAAGTGCCAAGTCCTAAACTGTTGCAGCATCAGTGGAACAGATGAGAAACAAAAACAGTTAAAATGACTTTAAAAACTACTCACAGACACAGCAAACAATTAACTATAATTTTAAGCAGAGGAACAGACACATCTTGCCAACACAAGAAAACAAGTTATTAATGAATTAAATATTACAAAGCAACAACAGCTGTTGGAAAACAGTGAAACCACATAAATCTTTCAGACCCTAGTGCATGCTGGGAAGTCTATTTCTACAGAAAATGTCTGTTTACATAAGAAATGCTTGTGCATAAAGACTTTGATTCATCATTGACCTAAATACATTTCCCCCAAACGTTTTTAGATGTTAACCCAAATCTTGAACCACAAACACACATAAACATAATTTTTAGCAGTAGATAAATTTCAAGTGTCCTAATCTGAATATAGCATCTACTGCACACTCTCAGAAATAAAAGTATGCGAGGTGTCACTGGGGTGGTACCATTTCAAAAGGTACACATTTGTACTTAAAGAGTCCATAATGGAACCTATAAAATATATATTGTTACCTAAACATTTTAAGAGGAACACTTTTGTACTTTTAAGGTACTAATACCTTCAAGGTATTAATATGGACCTTTTAGGTACTAATTTGTACTTTTTGAAAAGGTAACACCCCAGTGACAGCTAGCATACCTTTTTTCTGAGAGTGTAGTATGAGAGCTGTTCAGCTGTCTTAGTTATAATACTGTGGTGTTTGCAGACGAAAGACTAAATATAACAGCAACTAGATATCCTATTGTTTTCAGAAGCCTACGTCAGTAGGAGTAGGAGAACGATCTGTGTGAATGAGGCGCTCGCTGTGGCCTTTACAAAAGCCCATTCATATTGTGCCAGTCTTTTTCAGAACATCTTGAGGCTGTATTGCTGCATCCAAGGCTCCATCGCTCTCTCAGCATAGGGTGATGCACTGTCCAGCTCAATGTTGAATGCTGGAGTATTAAGATATGTAGAATATCTCCTAATCGTCTCATGATTTTATTCAGTCTGCTTTGTTTTCCTGCAAAACTGATGACTTTCTTTAAGTATGCTTCTACATGTATAATATTATTCATTATTCCTGTAATTTGTAAAGTATATCTTTGTAAATGTAAAAGGTCTGCAATGTTTGATTTGACACAATAAGTTGGCAGGAATTCCAGCTTCACTTCTAAACGTCTGTAACACATATGCATAATTTAGCCTATATGGTCTTCATTGGCTGGATGCAACATTTTAAATGGTTTATGTGGTTAATGTCAAGAGTAGTTGCTTATTTTTTGTTGAGGCAAACCATTTATGCACGAAAAACTCTCATTACAACCACTGAAGCTGTAAAATGAATCTCTTACATTGTATCTGCACTTTGTTGTTCATGATGAGAGAACAGATAACAGAATTAAGCCAGTAATTGTGCATTCTCAATAAAACAGCAGCGTAATCAGTGCTTAGTAATTTAAACAATTCTGATTGGCCGTTGCGTTTATAAGCTTAACAGAAACATATATGATTGGTTATTCTGAGCACTGCGACAATTATAAATAAATCAGATGAAGGTAGCATGTGTAGTTAAAGTCAGCTTTATTGTCAATTTAACTCTCAGACCCAATAGGTGCCTAACATAATTGTAATACAAAAGTAGAAATTGCCATAAATACAATTACACATATAATATAATCTAAAAAATATTAGTGTAGATTTAATTGTAGACAGTAATAATATTTGATCAGTTTACTCAAATTGTGCAGGGGCTTGAATTCGTTAATTATGTGTAGGATGGGGTCAGCGTGGTGGCACAATGGGTAGCGCTGTCACCTCACAGCAAGAAGGTCGCTGGTTCGAGCTTTGGTGTGTCTGTATGGCGTTTGCATGTTCTCCCCATGTTTGCGTGGGTTTCCTTTGAGTGCTCCGGTTTCCCCATAGTGTATGTGTGTGAATGAGAGTGTATAGGTGTTTCCCAGTGATAGATTGCGACTGGTAGGGCATCTGCTGCATAAAACATATTCTGTTGAACACAAAAATATATCTTGTAGCTAGCTGGAAACCAATAGCCATTGACTTCTTTAGTTTCTGTTTTTCCTATATGGAAGTCAGTCGTTACTAGGCATGGGCCTGTATAAGATTCTGATAATATGATAACCTTGGATAAAAATATCACGGTTTCATGGTATTGTGATTACTGCTCTAAAATATATTCGTTTTAAATGTCTGGGTAAAAACCAAAACCTTTTTCTCTTTTGAACATTATTTTGTAGCTGTAAACATGTCAGGTTAAATAAATCAAATCAATGATTGACTTCTGCTGTTGTCATTAGTTTCAAAAACACAGATTTCTTTACAATTTAAAACCTCTTTGGATATCTTTTCTGCTGAAGATACTTTTGTCCTAAAAAACAAAAAAGTAAATAAAAAAAAATCTTGCATATCTTAGGAACGGTATAACCATAGACCATTTTAAAACCTTGATTTTTCCAAACCGTGTTATAACTTAAAAATAGTTATTGTCCCATGCCTAGTCGTTACAGGTTTACAACTTTTGTCAAAAGAGTTTCTTTACAGTTAAGAATAAAGAAACATATTAACGTTTGGAACCACGATAGAGTAAGAAAACAGCAACTAAATGTTCAATTTTGTCTCTACTATCGCTTTATTCCTGATGCCCAACAAACTACAATAAGTAAAAACTTCCTGCTTAAGTCAGTGGAGGTAAGGGCTGTGCAATTACTCCAATCAAAATAGCAATTTAAAATGTTGCAATTAGCTAATCGCAAGAGGCTGCGATATGCAATATATATGAATTATTTAATTTCCCTCTCCCACAGCAAATCAGAATTGCACGGCCGAACTATAAAAACTAACATCTTTAGATGGGGGTGTTTAGATGCCATCTTTAGGAGCATTAATAGCCGAAATAATATAAAAAAAAAAAAAACAGCACATCAGTAATATGGGAATATTTTGGTTTCTAAGTTACAGACACCAAGAAAAATCAGATAATTGTAAGAGCTTTCGCGGAATTGTTGCCAGCACGAGGCAATACAAAAACCAGCACCTAAATTGACTACAAAGTTAAATCGCAGATCAAATCGAAATTGCAATATCTGTCAAAAGAATTGTAATTACATTTCCCCTAATCGCACAGCCCTGGTGGAGGTTCAGGTTGATCAACTAATTTTTCCAATGTTTATTCGGATTAATGATTAATTGAATCAGTTGTGTACAATATAGCTGAGCGAGCACCCGCAACTGAAATTTAAATATATAAAAATGACAAGTTATTTGAGAACTTCACCTCATTTAAGTAAGAAACCACAAGCAAAACAAGAAACCTTTATAATAGCACAACAGGGGCACTTTAACACATTTATCCAGCTTCATGCTGTGGTTTCATATCAGCTTGTGTTTTCCTCTTGCCTGTTTTGCCTGTCTTGCCTGTCTGACATTTAGCTAAAAGACATTAAGTATGCACTGTTTCCTTGAGAAGCCTTTTTTTATGTTACGGAAGACCATTGTTGAAGTGTGTTAAATCCATTCAAATACCAGAACAAATCCACACCAACAAAGCTGCTCATTTACTGGTTTGCTGATTCTGCAAGTCACACATGATTACAACATGGGATTAATATTAAAATGCAGTCAGGGGTCTACAAGATGGGATTGGAGCAGGATTCTCCCAGAAATAAAACTCTGAACTGTGCATTTTATAAATGTCTAGCGTAAAATGTATGTAAGCCTTTATATTGTTTTAAAGGGCGACACGGTGGCTCAGTGGTTAGCACTGTCACTTCACAGCAAGAAGGTCACTTGGCGGTTCATTCCGCTGTGGCATCCCCAGATAAATAAAGGGACTAAGTGAAGGAAAATGAATGAATGAATGAATTGTTTTAAAGCAGGCATCTCAAACTGCTGGCCATTTGCGGCCATCCCTCTTCCTCCCTCCCGCCCGCAACTGATGTAACAAGTAACAAGATTTGGACCACCAAAACATATATATTTGAACCACTATCATTGTTGTGCAGTCGCATATAGCCACTTGTGAACTTTTAAAGCATAACACTGTATATCCAGGTTACTTTTGGTTTCTCTCAGCATGCAGTCGAGAGTAATGAGCATGCAGATTATGTCCGGGGCTGAATTAAACGTTAAAATATATGTCCTCAAGTGCTCAATTTTTACTAAAGCTCTATTTCTGAAAATATTCAAGGGTCATTTGATTATAATTATTTTTATACCACATGTCTGTTGTACAAGCACTTCTTTATGTTATGATGGTGGTGTAAATATTATAATTTTGCCAATATTCGATTTAAATGATCTCTTTAATAGATTTTACTCATGTGCGTATTAAAATTTGTATAGAACATGTGCATTAGTAAAGTTTTACTACTGGCTGAATTGATCATGTTAAAGTAAATGTGAATATATACATAATTTTGATGTAGTTTTACTAAAAATAATGATATTGAGAAGAATAATTGCCAGTATTCAAGTCACTTAAGTTACTCAATCTGCTTTTTGCTGTCTTACTCTATCTGTTAAGCTTCTGGGCAAGCAACAATTGATTGGGACATAATAATAATAATTGTTATTATTAAATTGCAGGATTTCCATTTCAATTTAACCAACCACTTCAATATTTAGAACAAGAAACAAAAAGAATGAGCTTTGACTGCATATACTCTGGGGAAGAAAGTCTGAGTGCATCAATTACTTCAGGTTTCCACTTTTTTCTTGTGCTTGAATGCTAAAACGGTCCACCTTTGAATTGTCAGTCACTTATATGGCCCCCTGCAATTTGAGTTTGAGACCCCTGTTTTAAAGGTATAGTTGACCCAAAACTGAAAATTCTGCCATCATTTACTCACCCTTTACTTGTTCAGAACCTGTTTGGATTTCTTTCACTTTAAGGTGTAATAAATAAAATATTTTTATTTTAAAATAGTTTTTAGTATTGATGTGGCGGCTGTTGCTTTTTCTTCCAGCAGCCAACGTTACGGCCTGAGTTCAATTGTTCATCAACTTTAGTATTCCACTGATGTTCCAAACCTGCCAATTATTTAGCATATTTTTGGACAGCAGTTGATTTTTGCTGATTGCAAAGTACACTTGTTAGATTGCATTCAAATTAAATTTCATTCATAACGGTGTCGTTTAATGATTGGACTAAATTAGTAACTGGTTTGTTTTTGCCTCTAGGATGGTCGGGTGTCCTTTATTGGCCATCAGCTGGGCGGTGTGGCCTTGCCCGCAAATAACCGGGACCAACAGGTCAAGTTTGCTCGCGCCATCCAAATCACCTACTACCTCCGTAACCTTGGCCCAGTGGTGCAGGACATCATTGCTGAGAAGTGGGAGACTGAATTCTGTAAGCTGGTGCACCAACTGGCTACAGACAGCCAGGAACTACACATCCAGTCTCTCACGTCCTTCAGCTTATGGCGGGACTTCCACAAGACAGGCGTATTGGCCAAGAGCGAGGTGCTGGTCAGCTTGGTGCTGGTGCTCTTGGCAGCCACCATCTCCAGCTCCATGCGGGACTGCTTACGCGGAAAGCCCTTTCTGGGCCTGTTGGGCGTCCTCACCATCTGCATCGCCAACGTGACGGCAGCTGGGATTTTTTTCATCTCTGATGGGAAATTTAACTCTACGCTGCTCGGGATCCCCTTTTTTGCCATGGGTAAGTGCAGCTTTCTTCACAGAGACGGTGGTGATTGTGTGTGGGATTATTGTAATTGCTGTGTGACCCCTCAGGAGGGGGGTGTAATTGTTTTCACGGCAGACATCGGGGTCAGTTTTGTGCAACAATAGGTTTTATCATTACAGAGGGAGAATCTGTGATATTAAGAATAGAAATGGAAGATAATTTGAGGCCAACGATTTTGTGCCACAATGAAAAGTCTTTGAATGTTTGCTTGAAAAGCCCATAATGGTGAAGAATGTCAAGTTAAAATAAATATAAATTGAGGTAGCATTACTATTATAAAGGCAAATCTAAATGATGGAATTGTTAATGTACCATTTATGAAAAAAAACATGCAGGTCTTTTCTGATGGCTCACTGACAGCAGGAAACTAAATATATGTTTTTTCAATTAAGAATAGCAAAATAAAAATTAGAAAGTATTTTTTACACATATGGCGCAAGTCCTGTCAAATTTAAAGTTTAAATATTCATGTCAGTTGGTAAAACAAGAATATTAACATATATATTTTAATATGACATATAAAATTGGCATGTTTTCTATATTATATGTACAAAATGCACATATATGTGTACATATACAGTATACATGTACCTATAAAGATACTTATATGCATATATTGCATATACTGTATATGTGCGCATATATGCACTTATATGTTCACCTATATATTAGTAAAATTATTAAATACATGGCTGCTAGACAACATGAGTTAAAGCCCATGTAGAAATTATCATTTTTTATTTACTTAAAAACAATCAAAAGGAAAAAATATAGTACAAGAACAAAATTAAGACAAAAAATCAACAGAAAAAAAAAAAAAAAAAAAAGACAAACCATTTTGTTACACATTTCCATCTTTTCCACTATCCTCATACAAGAAAGAATTGACCTTGTAAATGTTTCTGGAAAACATGTAGACATCATAGCTTCCCATCTCCTCTCACTTATTTGCCATAGTTAAGTTCGATAACATGCTAATTACAGTACATGTGAAACCAATTTCAAATGATTGCACATACATACGTGTTTTGCATTTTTTTAGTTCATTTTCAGTTATTTCCTTGATAATAGAAAATATGGTCTAGGCATCATGTATGACAGTTGCCAAAGTGAGATATTAGATATATAGTAGACATCTTGTATATACATTTAGGGCTTATATGTGGATATAAAGAAGCAGTACAGGAGACCTGTATGGCCTGTATATGCACATATACGCACCTTTGCCTATATGTGGCATACAGTTGAAGTCAGAATTATTAGCCACCCTTTGAATTTTTTTTTTCTTTTTAAATATTTCTCAAATGATGTTTAACACAGCAAGGAAATTTTCACAGTATGTCTGATAATATTTTTTCTTCTGCAAAAAGTCTTATTTGTTTTATTTTGGCTAGAATAAAAGCAGCTTTTACTGCTTTTTAACCATTTTAAGGCCAAAAACCATTTTAAGGCCAAAATTATTAGCCACTTAATTGTTTTATAGTCTACAGAACAAACCATCATTTTACAATAACTTGCTTAACTACCCTAACCTGCCAGTTTAACCCAATTAACTTAGTTAAGCCTTTAAATGTCACTTTAAGCTGTATAGAAATGTCTTGAAAAATATTTAGTAAAATATCATTTACTGTCATCATTGAAAATATAAAAATAAATCAGTTGTTAGAAATGAGTTATTAAAACTATTATGTTTAGAAATGTATTGAAAAAAAATCATCTCTCCATTTGGGGAAAAAATAAACTGGGGGAATAATAAACTGGGGGGATAATAATTTAGGGGGGCTAATCATTCCGTATAACTGTATAAAAACATATATGCAGTATATATGATACATGTAGGTTTCATACATGTGCCATGCAAGGTGAAATCAGCCTATAATAAATGTATTGTAGTAAACTACATAAAAAAGATGCCGTAAGCTTGGTGCCCACTAAAATGTGTTTGTACAGGAAGTGGTGTTAATCTGAACAGCATCAATGTATGACATTGCTTTAATATGCAAAATAACTTAATAAACAAATAGTTAATACTCAGAGACCCTACTTGGTAGGTATTGCTGAATATATGCTATATTGACCATGTTGTCATTGTTATGGGTCTCTCAGCATCAATTTTGTTGTGAATTCTGACATGCATTTGTCATATACTTTTTTTATTTACAGAAAGTCACATACAGTACCTTTAGTATGATTGTTATTTTATGGTGGTATAAAAGCACTGAGTAAATGATTCATTAGCTATGTTTTCATTCACCCATTTTTGATCCGCATTTTGTATATGCGCATAAAAAAAGGTTGATGCAAACGCCAATATGCGCATACATTTTTTCAATGCGCATAAAAAAGCAAATGTGCATAACTGAGATAGGATAAACTTTTGTTCGATAAGAAAAGATGTGCATAAACTACGTTGGAAACACTTTTTGCAAACAAATTCCAGTATGTGCATTAAAAAAGTTTTTGTTATAAGAGATAATGTGAAGCCGAGAGGTTGAGCACATTGTAAATTTTGTTTTGGTCATTCTTATTATATTATGAATTACCTCCAGAATCAATTGTCTGTGCTCCGCATCTGACGCCTTCAAACACCACCGTGAGTTCATTTTGTGTCGGCATATTGTTTTCTGAGGGGCAAGGCATTAAATAAACGAGGAAAAGATTGGCGCAGCTTCTCTTACTGCATTAAATTCCATTTTTACTCTTGATATTTGATAGTTAATCAAGAAGTGATTATTTTGTTATCTTTGACTCGTTAGATGGAAACGCTGCTTTATTCGCATGTCTTATATGCGATATTCCAGTTTGATCTCATGAGGAAACGAAAATGTTTTACGTTTTGTCAGTTTAGTGGCTAATTCGTACAAATTCTTACGAGTTAAGTCGTACGAAAATGTGTGATTTTAAAAAGGAGGCGAATTAGATGTACGAATTCATACGAATTAGCCATAAAATCAAAAATTATGAATTGATGAGAGATTGCATTTGATATTCCAGTTTTGTGACACATTTTTGGGTAGAAGCATAGCTACTGACACATTCAGTCATATTGTTTGTGAATAAATCAATGTTTTTTGAATGAACTGGTTAAATGAACAATTTATTGAGTCATTCTGTCATTTGTTGCCACCTTCTGGCATAACTATTCTGGCCTGTCAAGAATCACACAAACTACAGACAAAAGTAAAAAAACAATTATTCATTTCTTTATTTGTTTTCTTTTTGGCTTAGTCCCTTCATTAGTCTGGGGTCGCCACAGGTGAATGAACTGCCGACTTATCCAGCACGTTTTACGCAGCTGATGCCCTTCCAGCCACAACCCAACACTGGGAAGCACTCACACACTCTTGCACACTCTCACATACACTATGGCCAAATTACCTTATTCCATTCACCTATACCGCATGTGTTTGGACTGTGGGGCAAACCGGAGCACCCAGAGGAAACCCATGTGAACACAGTGTGAACATGCAAACTCCACACAGAAGTGCCAACTGATGCAGCCGGGGCTTGAACCAGTGACCTTCTTGCTGTGAGGTGATTGTGCCAGCCACTGCGCCACCGTGCTGCCAGTAAAATAATATGTAAAGAAAATGTATAGATAACATATATAGAGAATATAGCAGAATACATTTTACTTTGGGTTAATGACAGTTTTTTTGCTTTTATACAGCATGCCCTACAATTTTAGGTCCTCCTAATGACCAGTAGAAAATCTTGTTGTTACATAACAATGTCTGTTTGACTGAAACCTAATCCAGAATTAATAATGTAATAAATCTAAAAAGTGACATTAGAATGCAAACACCTGTCTTTGCGCAAAAAATGTAATGTGAATCTGAAGGAACAATTACGTCTGCAGAACATTTATCCTTTTACAAGAATTAGCTCCCTTTCTTCCTATTGTTCATGCATTTTGGGAGGATAATAAGGAGCAGTCATTAATTTCCGACAGTGCTGTGTTCTTTCTGACGTGTTATTTTGGTGCACCCCTGGGAACACAATCTAGCAAGCTAAAACAAACTTGGAAATTTAACGAACTCCGAACTCAACACATCTTGCAGGTGTTAAAAACACCCTTAGATTTTACACCTGTCTAGGTTGCATTAGATGCCCTTAGGTAACGACTGTCACAACCCTCAACTGAGTGGAACTAATTAGCTTCCAGTTTAAAGCACGTCGATTTGTTTGCTCCTGTGGAGGTAGAATCATGATTCTCTCAAAACAAGGATATACAGGGTGCAAAAGCACAATTATGGCAATTAAAGCATTCTTATTTTCAGTCAGCCACTGCGATGAGTTTGCTTATTGTTGCAGCGTGATAGAATAATCATCCAACAATTACACATGGCATTCGATTTGAAGAAGCACTGTCAGTAAAGAGACCGGCTGTACTGTAGGATTTTATGATCATGAATGCCCTTGCGGAGCTTCTGGATCAAGGGTAATAATGCTTGGTGCTGTATTGTATACTCTTAAGCTCTAGCCAGGCATTTACGGTGTCCCTAATGATCCAGACCCCTCAGATACTCAGTCTTATTGCAAGGCTAGCCCAGCGTGAAAGATTAATTGCTCCCTGACCACTGGATTTTGAGCTCTTTGCAGAATACCACAGGACTTGTGATTTACTGTGCTTTGCATTTGAGCTGCACGGAAAGGACAATCTGGAGGAATAGATTTTGTCCTGCTGGCGAAGATGAATGGAGACAGTCTACAAGGCACATCACAATGTGCTGCCGGGACCCGGGGGACACAGGGTTGTTTCGTTGGGTTGGTGAAGTGGCATTGGATTCAAGTTTGTGAAAGGTATTTGGATATATATATTAGCTACAAATACGGCGCATAAGTCATTTGGACAACTTTTAGATGGGTTGTTATGAGCTGCATAAATAATTTTGGTCTTCGACGGGACAATAATTAGATTGGAAGTAAATTATGACAGAATACTCATTTTAGGGTGACCTGTCCCTTTAAAG